TTTGTGTGCGATAGCCCTAATGCTTGCCGCGCGGCGGAAGTTCGCGCGACAGCCAATCAATATGCTGCTTTCCGTAATAACCTTCTAGCTCCTACGGAAAAACAACATATTAATTGGTTATCGCACAGACTTCAGCCGCGCGGCAAGCATTACCGCGTCTTATGTGCAAGAGCCATTAAGTAGGGATGGGCGATCTCGATTTGATTTTGACAAGATCGATTCAAAAGATCCAAAAAATCGATTTTTTGAATCGATTCTTTACCATTTCGATTTTGTATGAATCGATTTTTCACGCTCAGAATCGACGAGACGATTCTTCCTTCTTCCATTAATAGCGTTGGGGCGGAATTCCTTTGGAAACCTGGGGCCACATAGGGCGGTATTCATAGTCGAATCTTATTTCAAGACAGTCTTAAGTAATGTCTTAAATGCGAATACGGCTCTGTGATTGGTTCATGACATCATAAGACAGTACTTAAGATGATCTCAAATATAAGATTGGACTATGGCTGGTATTCATAGTCGAATCTTATTTCAAGACCGTCTTAAGTAATGTCTTAAATGCGAATACGGCTCTGTGATTGGTTCATGACATCATAAGACAGTACTTAAGATGTCATCAACCAATCACAGAGCCGTATTCGCATCTTAAGACATTACTTTAGACGATCTTGAAATAAGATTCGACTATGAATACCGGCTTAAGTTTCCACCGAAGGTTCGAATCGGGTCAGAATTGGATTGAGGTGAGTGTTCTTACGGTGGAAACACTAAATCTAAAATTGAACTCTACCCAATAAAATTTTAAGGTAGGGTCCAAATAAGTTCGATAGAAACGACGATAGAACGTTCGATAAAAGAGTTGGAGTTATTGTAGTGTTGCCAACAGAACTAATAAAACCTTAAATGTCAGGAGATGTTATAGCTGACTATGGGTGTTTCCGATAATGGGTGTTTACGTTAAATCGAGTAAGAGTTAGTTCCACTAGAGTCGGAAAATGTAATAGGCACAATCATCTAGTATCTTCATGGTTCAAGACAACTCAATATTGCTTTCAGATACTCGAGTAGAGTTATAGCGTTTTTCATTGGCAGAATTGGTGCGCACTGAGTGCGCACTAATAGCGAATTCGGTTGCTTGCACTAGTGTGCACTGAGTGCGCACTAAGGCTTGTTCATAGTATGTTATTATATTTAAAAATTGTCTTAAATAATTCTCAAATAAATTCTCAAATATTTTTAACCATAATATGATATGTATAACATCCGTACGAATCATTTTATTAGTTAAAATGTTTTTAAATATGTATTTAAGACACGATCTTAAATATAAGAATGTACTGTAAACAAGCCTTAATGCGCACTCAGTGCGCACTAGTGCAAGCTACCGAATTCGCTATAAGACTTGTTCACAGTATGTTATTATATTGAAAAATTGTCTTAAATAAATTCTCAAATATTTTTAACCTTTTTAATATAATATGTATAACATCCGTACGAATCATTTTATAACTTAAAATATTTTTAAATATGTATTAAGACACGATCTTAAATATGAAAATGTATTGTAAACAAGCCTTAGTGTGCACTCAGTGCGCACCAATTCTGCCAATGAAAAACGCTATTAGTTAGAGTTAGCTAGAGTAAGGAGCGTCCCGATTGATCACGGTACGATTGGACACAATCAACCGATGAAAAGAATTATCTAG